TTAGGCAGCCTCTGGAAGCTGGAAAAGAAAATAAAATGCATTTCCCTGTAGAGTCTCCAGAAGGAGTGCAGCCCTGCCTGTACTTTGAGTTCAGCCCAGTGAAAGTTGTTCTGGACTTCTGACCTCCAGACCTGTAAGATAATGAATCTGTGTTGTTTATTTTAAGCTGCTCAGTCTGTGGTAATGTGTTACAGCAGCAACAGAAAACCAAAACAAGTGGATTGCATTTTAAGGGGCCTGCTGCTCTTAAGGTTGCCTCATCAGAATTTAAGGGTGAATCCCTCACTGCAGGCATTGCTTGGCGGGGTGGCAGCAAAGGAGGTGATTGATGAAGCCTCTAGGGTCCCTGGGCCTTCATACTCTGGGATGCATCCCCTCTCTCTTCCTTAAATTCAGTCAATTTAGAGTCTTAATCCAGGTCACAATTCCAGACAGAGCAGCTGATATATCTCGGGGGAATGTGGACTTGCAGGCCAAAATAACTAAATACCTGAGGAGTACAATTATTAAGCCAAACCATACAAAACCACTATTTTTATAGATCAGTACCAGTCAAATATTAGCAATTCCCTGTGGTTCAACTTAATACTCTAAATAAGAATGATCAAACTATGGTCCATGGACCAAATCTGGCCCACAGCATGTTTTTATAAATAATTTTATTGGAGCAGACATACTTATTTATTGGAACAGAGGCATATTGCCTCTGGTGGCTTTCATGTTATAGTGGTTCAGCTGAGAAATTCTTAGAGACCACATGGGCTGCCAAGCATAAAATATTTTCTATTTGCTTCTTTACAGAAAAAGTTTGCTGATCCCTGCTCTATAATATACCTTCTGAAGCAGAATTGTCAGAAAAGATTGCTAAAAAATTTAAAACAAACAAGATAAAATGTTTAAGAAGGTAAAGAAAGTTTCATAATATGAAAAAAAAGACAAACATTTATTTTAAAAAAAGAAGAAAAAAAGAATCACATGGAAATACTAGATATAAAAAACCCAAGGAGTGAATAGGTATAGCAGGGAAATGGATAGGGTATTAAGATGGACACGAGAGGAGTGAATCACGGGGTGGACAAGCTGTCTGGGAAATGCTCTCAGAAGGCAGCAAGAGAGGACAAGATAAGAAAGAGAAAAATGAACTGATGTAAAGGAGAAAAGTAGAAGTGCCAACGTCTGCAGAAGTGGGAACACACAGCAATACTGTTTTAATTGGGTGTATTTTAGTGTACTAGTCAGCTCTTGGCAAAGAAATGCTGTATACTAACTTATTCCTTACCCTTGTAGTGAACCAAAACAAGCATCCATTATCTGGTGTATGGGTCTGAAGGCTGACTGTAGCTTGGTTGACAGTTGTCAGCCTATTCACAGTGTTGCTTGAGGCAACACTTGGGCCTGTCTTTTCTAATAGCAAGCCCCACAGATATTCCCCCTATGCCGCACCAGGATAATGTGGTTGGACTGGTCCTTATGGTTCAATTATAATAGCAAGACACACCTCAGCAAAACCATCAGGGAACTTTGGAAAACAAAATTTATTTACTCACAAGTCCTAGTGGGTACATGGTACACCTCCCTGGTACAGTGAGGTCTCAATAGAGAGAGAGAGAGAGAGCACAGACCTGGGGCTTCACCTTTATTAGAAGCTGAGGGTGGGGTATCCAGGGTTTTATGGGTTCACTCTTTATCAGTGAATTTAAAGTATAAGAGCCAGAAGTGGAGGGACATCTGGATGGCTCAGTTGGAAGAGTGTGTGACTCTTGATCTCAGGGTCGTGAGATTGAGCCCCATGTTGAGTGTAGAGGTTACTTAAATAAATTTAAAAAAAAAAACTTAAAAAAAAAGAGCAAGAGGTGGAGCATAGGAAGGGAGAAGCAGGGTCACGCACATGGTCAGGTATCTAAGTCACCCAGGGCTTTCTGAAAAAGAGACATTCATGGGTGGGGTGGCCTGCTTCCTTATCTTATTGTTTGCTAGTAGCTGTGTCCTAAAGCTGCAGTGTTTGTTTGAGGTAGACATCTTTGAAATGAATGCCTTGGAAGTCAATAGCTCCATATATTACTTACATTACAATCAATAAACTTTACATCAGGCACTTACACTACACTGCTCTAGGAGGTGTGCTGCTGTGGCTTCACTTTAGGTTGATGCACGTGGACTCACTTTCAGGTGGGTTCAGAACATTGTTCTGGAGTCCAGACTAGGTATTCCTACATAGCACATTCTCAGACTACATCCCTGGGCACCCCTTACCTTGGAAAATCACCTGAGGACAAGTGGACAAATGCAGTATGTCTTCACATCTCACCATTATCCTGACACATGGTCACTTCTGCCTCTACTGCACAGTGGTAAACCAGCCATATGCTCAAACCCATCACATGAATGGAGAAATATATTCCATCCACTCTAGGGGAGGCCCTGAGAAGTCACTGCAGAGGGTACAGAGGAAGTATTCTTAAACAGGAGAGCTTGGAGGATTGCAGCAATGACTCAGTCTGTAACACTTGGTTATATAAAGCTGAATGTAAAAATCTAAGTCCCAGGAGTCTTATATACACTGTGGTAGATACCCTTTTATAGAGTACAAAACCGAGCAAAACTGAGCATGTCAGGTATGCAGACACTGGTGATTAAACTCTTGAGTAAAGGCGGGGATGATACGGGGTGTCCTGGATAACAAAGGAGCACATATTGTCAGATATTGATAATATTCTGGCTCTTGGTTTAGGTGATGGATTGTGGGTTGTTCGCTGTCTTATACAGCCACACATGAACCAATGCCAGGTGTGTCATGAACAAAGGAAAGGATAATGTTTAAGCAAACTCTGGGCCACTAGGGTTTGTAAGAAAAGAAAAAGACAAGCAAACAAAAAACTCAAATGCACCTAGAGTCAGAGAAAATCAAACAGATGTTTTGAACTTGGCAATTAATTAAGAAAGGGTTAAGGGGTAGTTTATGGAGTTACTCTAGCAACACAGGCTCAGTGGGACCTGGGGTGGTGGGACTCCTTGCTCCAAAGACCTTCTGAAGTGGGCTCCCTGTCTACTGGGCTATGTCTTTGGGGTTGGTCCTTAATTATCCGCTTGGCCTGAGGAGCAATGAATGACTCTTGCAGGAGTAGCTGGGAGTAGCTGGAAGTAAGTGGGAATAGCTGGGAATAGACAGGAGTAGTTGGGGATAGGTGGGAGTAGGTGAGAGTAGGGGGAGTAGCTAGGAGTAGAGGGGAGTAGCTGGGAATAGGTGAGGGTAGGCAAGAGTAGCTGGGAGTAGGTGGGAGAGACACTTTAGATTTGGGTGGAGGCAGTGACATTCATATTGAGACTTGCAGGTGGCTGAGCCTCTGGGTGGAGGTGAGGGAATATCAAGCCCTGGTAAGGAGGCTGGGCCTGGGTGTAGAGGCAGGGTGCCACTTGGTCCTTGGTGCGGTGGGAGAGGCTATTAGAGATGTGGTTGAAGATGTGGGTGCACATAAAGTGTGATCAAGATGACTTGCATTTTTTAATAAAAGTTTTTATTTACGAAGATCATTTTTAGTGTTTTTTCTCCTGGTTCACGTGTATATTGATACTCAAGAGGACAAATGCAGCACACTGGTTCTCAGACACGGCTACACACTGGAACCTGGGATGGCTTCCTCTTCGCTGGGCCCTCGCCCAAGATTGATTTTATTGGTTGGAGTGGCCTAGGTCCTTCTTAAAACTCCCCAGGTGCTTTTAACATGTAGCAAAATTTCAAAATCATTAATACATTATTAATACGTGATTAACAGTTGGGCAATATATACTAAATTTTAATTTAAGTGAAGCTTTTGCATCAATTTTCCATCTAGTCGTTTATTATACAGAAATACCTGGGTAATTTCACAAAGATATTGGAAAAGTATTGTCCACTACAGTACTGTTTGTAACAGCTGTAAATGGGAAACAAAACATCCATTAATAGGCAGTTAAAATACAATATGGTATATTCACACTGCAACAATTTACAACCTGCCAGGCAGACTTATACCTGCATATTGTTTCCTATATATTGCCACTTCTCATGGTCAAGAGCCCATCAATCTTCTGGCCCTGGGACCAATGCCCACCTCTCGGCCCCTCCAGGAACTTGCTGGACATTGATTTGGGATTTTCACAGAGAAGCAGAATTTCCAAGAGCTCAGGGGATGCATGGGCCCCCTCCCACTAAGGCACAGGTTCGGCCATCAGGTTGGCTGGGTGACCCTCACCCTTGCAGGACGGCAGAGGGAGATGCTATTGGTCCAAACAGAGTGGTCCAGAGGCCAGGCATTTGGGAAGCTGGGGTCACTGCACAGGTGGGCAGGAGACCTCTGGGTGGTCCCCACAGCTTGCCTGCTGTGTGTGAGCTGTCTGCACTGGAGGACAGTGGCTGTGTCACAGGTGCTGGATTACATCACAAAGTGTGCCCTGCCTACAGGGGCATGGGCAGAGCAGAGTTCAGGACTGAGGGAGACCCCTGACCAGGGCTTAGGCACAAACTGAGTGCTAGAGACCCAGGAGAACCACGGCTGGGGTGTGGGCCACAGCCAACTACACAAGGAAGAGGGGGCAGCCAGTGGGTACGGCAGGTTGGGAAGTCCCCAGAGAGCCGGGGCCAGGAAAACTTGGGGCAGCAACACTTTTCACAGTCACATCTTACAGGCTGAGGTGCAGAACCAGGAGTGGGCGGTGAGGTGACCCGGGTAGGTCCTGGCAGACCTGGGTCTAAGTGTTCTCCATGAAATTGCAGACCACATCCGGGGGATGGAGGGCGGATGGCTGGTAACGGGGACTCTTTAACTGGTTTCTTGTGGGTTGATTTCCTTGGAGACAGGGGTAGCCCTAAAGGGTGAACCTAATAGTTCTTTCTTGAATCCAGCTGGGCTGAAGCTGTTTTAGATCTTTGAACCTGCAGCGACCACATCCATCCCACCCCACCTGAAGCTCCAGCCATGGGAGGACGAGGAGGCTCACTTGTGTCCCTGGACGGAGGGATCATGACTAGATCCTGGGGGTCCTGCTTGCTCCTGCTCACCATTTTGGTGGCCCTGGTGGCCAGCACAGACCCAGGCAAGAATAAGGTCAAGGTATTGAGGGAATTGAAAGTGATCAATTCCTCAAATGCCAACGTGAAGCAGTGTCTCTGGTTTGCCATGCAAGAATACAACAAAGAGAGTGAGGATAAGTACCTCTTCCAGGTGGTCAAGACAGTACAAGTCCAGCTGCAGGTAAAGGTGTTCCCTCACACCATGCATGTGTGCCTATGGTGGGAGAGATTGAAGCTGGACTGAGAGGGTGGGCATGGGAGAAAAACAATGATATATAAAAGTCCTAAATATGTGAGTGATCAAGCACTTACACATTTGCAGATCACTGTGACATCACTGCACTTTCTATATATGCTTCCACTGTTGCTCTAAGTACTTTATGTGTGCTAACTCATGTAAACTCCAAACTGCAAATCACATGTTCATGATTTGTATTTGCTAGGGCTGGGAGACAAATTGAGTGCCATGAATATTTTGCAATAATGCTGCCATGGACAACATTTCAATTTATCCACATAACGTAGATTGTGCGGTTGAAAAGAGACATGCGGCTTATCTAATGTGTAGGTAATAAAGTCTCTCCTCCTATAGTCTATAATTCTTTGAATCCAACATTTGTTTAGTAGAAGTGGAGACATTCTGATTCTATGTTCATAAAAATGTATCCCTCCCCGCAGGGTCATGCATGGCCCAAGGCTAGGAAGCATTGCTTAGTTGGATTCCATTGAGAATGATGCTTCCCGGAGCTTACATCATGTGGTCCTGCATGCCATGATCAAGAAAAAGCCCCCAGAGCTAGAACTGAGCTGACTGTACCATCCTCAGTCTGTGGGTTGGTGATGTGGTTTGTAATTCCACCATGAAACTTGCAGGAGTGAATTGTAAGGGTACTCAGCAGAGAGGTCCTTGTTGGCAGAGTTGACTTCAGTTTTTATATTCTCCATATGGTGTGTCCATTTGCAGGAACTGAGCCAGTGTACATGTTGGCACTTATGACCCCCTCCCTTTGGGACCTTGTGAACCAACAGCCCGTATTTCCAGTATATCATGCTGATGGCGCTCTGTTTATTGACTGGCATGCTGCACAATCCCCCTGGGAACTCTTGCATCCCTTTGAAGTAGGGGGATGGATTCTGTCTCTTGTAACTTCTCCAGACCCCTTTGCAGTTGTCTCTCTTTGGTATTCAAGTAGCACACATATTCAGCGAGTTTCTCCCAAGCAGCCCTATGCCAGCGGATGTACATGGGGTGGTGAGATGGACAGAAATAATCACACTCCTAGGGAGCCAGCAGTCTAATCAGAAAGAAACAGTGCCAAACCCGGAATGAGAGCTGGGGCATCTGACCTGGTGGCGTGGTACCCAGGAGTCCGGAGGTCAGAGGAAGGGTTCCTCAGATAGGCTCTCACCTGAGGAGCTTGCAAATGTCCTACTGCACTGGCCTCACCGTCACCAATTAAATGAGGATCTCTAGGTAGGACCCAGGTATCAGTAGGTGTTAAAACTTTCCAGGTGATCCCAATACACAGTCAAGGCAAAGAACCACCTCTCTAGGGAGTGATATTGGTGCCAAACCCGAGGGCAGACTAGGAGGGAATCAGGTGAAGGATACTGGTGGGAAGTGTTTTCGTTTAGGTTTCTCACAACAGATCCCAATGCTAGAATTCAAGTGCCAGTAGTTTATTTGGGAGGCCATCCCAGTAAGCACCAGGAGGCTGGATGAGAAGGGCGAGAAGTCAGGGAAGTGGCCAGAACAGAGTGAGTTACTGTGCAGATGACCGCAATGGGCCTCCCTGGGGCCTCGGGAAAGGATGCAGAGCCTGCCTCAGAGTTTGGCCACCCTGCAGGAGGGAAGCTCAGTTGCTTACCCATCAACTCCCATCCATTGTTGGCTAAGAACTACTCTTGGCTCTTGCTGGTCAGGAAACCTCCAGGCAGGGAGCCCCAGGAAGTGGCAGTGTGTTTGGGAAGAGCAAAGGACATGGACACCACTCACAGCATCTGTTACAGGAGGGGAGCCCAGGAGGATTGGGGGGCTGCACAGGGGTTGGGAAGAGCAGTTACGCATAGCTGGCTGCCACTGGGAAGGGGCATGGCCCATTCAGCAACTCAAAGGAGCCAATGTGACTGGACAGAGAGGTGGGCAGGGACTAGACCATTCAGGGCCTTGAAGGTACCCAACTTAACTCTCCAACCCAACGGGCAGCTCTGCCAGTCTCTTCTTGATGTCAACTAACCAGCTTCTCCCCCATGGCAGGCCAGAGTCACCTTGTTAATTCTTTGGAATGTAGCTAAAATGTAATACAATTTTATTAAAGGCTTGAAGATAGCAATGAGGAAAGATACCCCTTTTGTCTCCTGCTGTAATCTCTTAAAACCAGATGAAAGCTGATTTAAATGAGCTTCTTGAGTGGCCTTAACCACACTCAGCCATTAATGAGTTCAGAAACTACTGATGCCTTGCTGTAAACCCACTGCTTCTCTGCTTACTAAACACTCAACAGAGAACAGCAAGACCAACTCCAGCCGGCATGGGCCCTTTAAGGACTGCTTGCTGAGGTTGTGGAGAAGCCCTCCAAAGCAGGAAATGTCACCAGATAACAGACTCTGAGGGGGTTGTGGAAAAGGAATCAGGGAGGAGCATCCAATGTGGCCGCAGGGCCTGTCCTTTCTTCTGGCCTGTGGGAACCTGTAATATCTCAGGCCCAGGAGAGCTGATGGTTCTGGTGACCTCATCCTTCTCCCTGATCCTTCATGGAGCATGCGGCATGCCCTGGACTTTGGGACAGAAAATGGAATTAGAAGGTTTCACCTTCATTGGGGCCCCACACTGGAAAGGAGACTTTTCCCCTAGGATACAGCTCCGGGGAATGGTTTCCAGGGTCCAACTGCTATCAGTATACAGAGGAATCCAGGCCTTCCTCTAAAGGTATGTTGGAAAGAGGGGATCGGGAGTAGGAGATAGGGAGAGAGGATGAGGGGGAGAGTGTTTTTTAGATTTTTTTTTTTTGGCTAAAACTTTAAAAAAGTAAAATAAAAATCTTTTGAATAAAATTGCACCATGTTAATTGACAGGTTACAGATCGTTTGGAATACTTTATTGATGTTGAAATTGGCCGCAGCAATTGCAGAAAGTTTTCAAATAGTACTGAAAACTGTGCCATTCAAGAGAACTCTAAACTGGAAAAGGTAGGTGATCAACATTCTGTGATAGTCTTGGCTGCTCTGAGCCCTAGATAGAAGAACTCAAGGTGCCTGTATCCTCTCTCTGAGGTCTGGATTACTCCCAAAGTTTTGCCCCGGAAGTGGGCTTTAGAGCAGAGGGTAGAGAACAAGGGAATATGATGAACCCCTCTGAGCCTTTCCTTACACCTCATCCTAGGGGCAGAATGCTGTCAGGGTCACTCTTATTGCAAGGGCTTCATCCACTCTGGCCTTTTGGTGCAGGAAAACTTGACAACACTATTCATTGAAAGTGTCCTCTTGGACCCAGATGAGCAACCTAGCCATTGCTGGCCGCAGAGCTGCTCATCTTTGTGAAGGCACGAAAGGAAACTCATTCATCCACTCAGCTATGTATTAAAGCTTACTATGCACCAGGTGGTATTTTGGGTGCTAGAGATTAAGCAGTGACTAGGCCAGATATTGTTCCCATCCCCCCAGAGTTACAGTTGATTCTTGCCAGGCTCAACCATGATTTCCAGGAAGGTCATGGAAAAGCCCAAAGACCCCCACCAAAGGGCTGACCTGGGCCAGGGGCTTTTAGCCTCAAGCCCATATTTCTGATCTCAGAGGTGGGGAGAACCCCAGATTCATCTAAGTCCTTAGTGTGATATTGGTGAAGGCTTTCTGCAGGTTTGCCCAAGAGATGTGTCTTTGCTTTTGTTTACACCAGTGGTTCTTTATGTGAGCAGGCATCAGAATTACCTGGAAGGTAATTTATTTATTGAGGTAATAAGCCTCAATAAACCCAGATGGCCAGGTCCTACCTGCAGAGTTTTGGACTCAGTAGGTCTGGATTGGGAACCAAAAGTTTGCATTCTTAACAAGCTGCTGTTGGCTGTGGGACCATACTTTGAGAACCACTGCTTCATATAGCCTTGCCACATGAAATTGCAAGGGCCTATTAACAAAGTGCACTTCCAGTATGTTTCATTAAAACTGCCTCTGTATGCTCAAACTTTATAAATCCGATCATTTCCAGTTAACAGCAGATAGCCATCAGGACAAACATTTAAGCAGGGAGCATGTCTTTATGCCATGTGGCTTTTATGTTACTTTTGTTTATTTTTTACTATTAGTAGAAGTATGGTTGGTTCAAATTTATATTTTCTACTGGACCCATTGGGATTATAGAAAAGTTGTTGCTTTTTACCTGGTTGTAGAAAATCTTAAAAAGAATTAAAGAGAATTGTCCTGAAGGAGCTCACTTATCTAAGGTTTCCATGGACCATCCCAAATTTTAAGGTGCACGTTTTTAAGCACACACTTACCAATAATGAAAACAGTTTTTTTTTTTTTTTTTCTCTCCAAGTCTTTGGAATAAAGCTGAAGAGTAATAATGCTGGGCAGTTTTTCTTATTCCCAGCTTTGATGGCAGTGCTTTCAGTATTTATATCCTATTATAAAATATTATATCAAGTGCTGATTTCTGGAATTCCTCCAATTCCGTTTGCCAAGAGTTATTTTTTTTCTTTCTTTTTTTAAATTTTGTTAACATATAATGTATTATTTGTTTCAGGGGTACAAGTCTGTGATTCATCAGTCTTACACAATTCACAGCACTCACCGTAGCACATACCCTCCCCAGTGTCCATCACCCAGCTACCCCATCCCTCCCACCCCTCTCCACTCCAGCAACCCTCAGTTTGTTTCCTGAGATTAGGAGTCTCTTATGGTTTGTCTCCCTCTCTGGTTTCATCTTGTTCCATTTTTTCCTCCCTTTCCCTATGATCCTCTGTCTTGTTTCTCAAAATCCTCATGTCAGTGAGATCACATGATACTTGTCTTTCTCTGATTGACTTATTTTGCTTAGCATAATACCCTCTAGTTCCATCCATGTTGTTGCAAATGGCAAGATTTCATTTTTTGATGGCTGCATAATATTCCATTGTATATATATACCACATCTTCTTATCCATTCATCTGTTGATGGACAGCCAAGAGTTATTTTTTAAATTATGTTTCTTCTATCAATTATTCTTCCAGCATCTACCAAGTATACTAAATAATTGTTCTTCTTTGACCCATTAGTGAAATAAAGTAATAGATTCACTAATGTTTTGTCATTCTTACATATCTGGAAGATGGTTTTTTAGGGGGGGATCTTATTGCTTGGATTGCCTTAGTTAGTTCTTATCCACGTTGACTGACTGCAGGTTGTTCAAAGTGGTGACAAGTACCTAGTACCTCAGTGTATAAGCTTGTTCAGGGAATGTCTGTCTTCATTGCATTTTCTGGACAACTGCACACAGATGTGGCATGGGACATTCTTTACTCCTTTGGGCCAGACAGCTTTGTTGAGCCTGGTGTCAGTATGCACATCCATCCCTTTCACGGCAAATTTCTAGCTCTCCCTGAGTGCCCTGGGGGCACACTTCTTGAAGGCTTCTCCATAGATGTGCTGTGAACATGGATGGTATATTCTCTGGTCAACTCACTGATGGCAGAACAGTCCCTTCTTCTTGCCACCTTTCTTTGTGGGAACCATTCTGTTGGGCATGATGGGTTATGTCCACCCTTGTCTTTTAGAATATGGTGAAATTCAATATGCCACTTTTTTTAAGGGATTTTTATATAGGAATTATATACATTAAGTACTCTTAATCTTCCCTGATTTTAAGAATCAGGGGCGCCTGGCTGGCTTAGTCAGTGGAGTGTGCAACTCTTGATCTCAGGGTTGTGAATTTGAACGCTGCATTGGGTATAGAGATTACTTAAAAATAAAATTAAAAAAAAAGAATCACTTGGAGCATGTGGTGAAACCACACACACATGTTCCATGGCCTCATTCCAAATTTATTCCATCAGAATTTCCAGGTGCAGACACCCCACATATTTCGTATCACTGGGAAAGTCTGGGAAACACTGTGTTAGGGATAGCAATTGTTTAATACGCAAATGCCTTTCATTTGCCAGTATTTTTTTTTTTTTTTTAGGATTTTTGTTTTAGGGGAGTTTGAGTTATAATTTATTCCTCTGTTATATTTTGGTTTCAGGATTTTTCTGGTCTGGTATAATGAGAATGAGGACTTTCCATCTTTTGTGTGTGTGTTCTGGATCAGTTTAGGGACCACAAGAGCTTTGGGTTGCCAAGGTTTTGTTTAATTTGCCTATAAAACCCTCTTGATTTGGTGTTTTTTTGTGGGTTTCTGGGGGGAGAAAGACCTGCATAATCCTCCTTTGCATGCGTCCAAAACTCAGCAGAGACCAGGCTTTCTTTTCTCTGACTCCTAATAGCATCTCAATGTTTCCAATTATTTAAGATGCTCTTTGCTGTTTTTCCAGGACTGCTATATATGTATTATCCAGCTATCTATCTAACTAGCTAGATTTTTCTATTATCTAGCTATTTATCTATCTATCTACCTACCTTCCTATCCATCCATCCATCCATCCATCCATCCATCCATCCATCCATCCATCTATCACACACACATAGAATATTTCATTTGCCATTTCTATGGTATTTTGAAATGGAGAGACGGGCTCTTTGGAATAACAGCTGGTAGGCCCTAGAGCCCTCCGAATTGCTCTTGTTATTAGAACAAAAGACATTATTAGACTTAAAAGACATTATTTAATTATTAAGATAACATATATTAGTTTATATCTGACAGAATTGCTTTATTTACATTATAGAAAATATTAGAATTAAAAACAAAATCAAGTTTGCATCTGATCTTCCAGAAAAACATGATGATTGTTAGTATTTGCTGTCTGTCCCTGGTTCTTATGGGAACAGAGACCCCTCCAGGTATCTGCTGATGGCTGTAAAGGTCTAGGGGATTCCTAGGAGCATTCATTGATGGCTGATGACCCATCCTCCAGCTAGCAACAGGACATTTTTCCCCCTCTTTTTTGGCATTACTGATTTTGTTGTGGTGTGGTCTTTTTCAGAAAGTAATGTGCAGTTTTTTGGTCGGAGCACTCCCCTGGAATGGTGAATTCATGGTGATGAAGAAGCAGTGTGTGGATGCTTAGGGGATTCTGGAGCATCACCCCACCACCACCATCTCTACCTTTTTCTGTGAAGAGATAAATGGCACGCACCGTGTTACCAATGTGGTTTCCTCATGCAAGCCTCTCTGCCTATTTTGTTTCCTAGTTTCTTATTAGGTGGTAACAAAAGATGGGTATGTCCAATTCCTTTTTCTTTTTTCTTTTTTTTTTTGGCCTCAAGGGAAGCCCCTTGACCTTGCCCAACTTGGTGACCCACCACCAGGAATAAGTTTGTCCCTGAGTACAAAGGATGGAGTAAGGTCTGATTCCATTCCCCACTGCAAATCTGAGGAGGGATTCCTTTTTGATTGGGTCATAACCCCTTCCAGTGGTCTGAAGACAGTGGGTGCTAACTCAACAGGTTCCTTCTGGAAGCCTCCTTTTTGGCCCGAGGCTCCTTCTTCCTGAGAGTTCTGAGTCCACAGGTCACCTGGGCTGGGAGAACTCCTGCAGAAGAAACAGTCTTCCCCTGTGGGGTCTCTGTGAATTAGGGAACTTGTGTTTCTTCTCCTGTAAATGTCAACAATGGTCACACCAAGAGAGGCAAAGGGCAATAACGCCTTCAGAATAAGTTGTGTTGTTCGTGTGTATGTGCACGCACGTGTGTGTGTGTGTGTGTGTAGAGAGATAGAGAGATGGATTGAGAAAGAGAGAGAGACAGAGATGGAAAATGTGAAGAAGGAAGTAAGCAAACATGGATGATAGCAGGAGATGAAATTCTCTTGAAGAAAATAATCATTAAAAATAAGTCAGTCTATTGGTTATTTACCCCAAAGATACAAATGTAGGGATCCAAAGGGTACGTGCACCCCGATGTTTATAGCAGCAATGTCCACAATAGCCAAACTGTGGAAAGAGCCAAGATGTCCATTGACAGATGAATGGATAAAGAAGAT